AATGGGCTATTAAGAGATATTGTTAGATGCTCGCGTTTCTTTGGTGTTAGTCCAACACTTCTTTAAAAAATCTGTTATAGCTTTTAAGAACATAAGGTTGCCCGAAACATGCAATTTTGTCGCTCTGTCAAAACAATGTTATTCGAAATTGTTAAAGTGACGTTGGGTGAGATCTTTTTCAGGACCTTGGACGAAATTGTAAACACGTTTGAATAAGCGAATCGCTTTGCATATCTCTTATATGACAGATATAGTGTGTTTCAAAAATACACATTCTATTACATCATTCCATTTGATCCAAATTTTACTACGAGAATATCGGCTGAGTTATTAAATACGAGTAAAAACACTATTTGGATAACTTTAACTGAAAATATGGGTAAATGAAAGATATGTGCGCCTTTTGTTTCAAATAAATTAAATGATTACCAAAAAAGTGAACGATTTCTTGATGAAACAAGAGAAAATGTTAACTTCGGTTGCATCAAAGCCATAATACCCCTCACAGGTGCATTTCTTATAGCATAAAAGGCTAGGAATGGTCCAATCTGAACAATTTTTTCGGAGCTTGTAGCGCTGTCTTTCGCAATATTCCGTGCCAAATTTCGAAAATATATTGTCAACTAAAAAAGTTTTCGATACAAGGACTTGATTTTGATCAAAATTTCAGATCGAAATTTTAAAAACTGAGAAACTAGTTCGCATGTATACTGACGGACAGACGGACATGGCTAAATCGACTCAGCTAGTGACCCCGATTAGTTTTATATAATATAATTTATAGGATCTAAGACGGTTCCTTCTAAGTGTTACAACTCTACACTGGGCACTGCAGGCTCAAGAAGCACCTATCAAACATGGGCTTAGCTTCTTGTGGCAACTGCCGATTCTGCGACATGGGACCGGAAACACCAGAACACCTAATCCTAGATTGCACCGCAATTTGTAGACGCAGGTTCAAGGCCCTCGGTTCCATTTTTGTGACCAGGGATCACATTGCCTCAATAGCACCCAGCAAGTATCTGGAGTTTTTCAGGGTGCTGGGACTTTGGGAATGCATGTGATGGAGGAGAGGGCACAATAGACCCTAGGTCGCAGTGCATACCTCATTTGCAAATCTAATCTAATCTAATCTAAGTGTTACAAACACACCGAAGATGAGCGCAGGAAGTTAAACCAGGTGATGATCAGAGCACAAATGTGGCTTGATGCGAAAGGCCTCAAACTTGCCACTGAAAAAACCGAGCTGCATTAAGGACACAAAAGGTTACCTACTGAGCACAAATTGAACACGCTGTGGAAAACGCGTCCATAATAACTAGTCAATTGAGCAGGCAGATGTCTAATATCGGAGGACCGAGACAGAAAAAACGGACACTTTTGATGTCGACAAGAGTAAATGTCTTGCTCTACGGAGCAGTTAAGGGGACACATTGAAGAAAAATAATCGACGAAAATCCCTCGAAAAAGTGTATCACACAACTGCTCTAAGGGTAGCATCGAAATATCGTACAGTCTCGGGCGAAGCTGTATATGTAATAAGCGGAAACACACCCATCGACTTATTAGCATTTGAACGAAAGAAAATGTGGACGTTGAAGGAACAAGGAACAGATGCTGCCGCTACAAAAGAGGAAATAAAGAACGACACCTTGGAGCAATGGTAAGCTCGCTGGGAGCAAGAACGCCACGGCAGATGGACGGCCAGGCTAATCCGAAGCATAAGAGAATGGTCTAACAGGAAACATGGTGAGGTGGATTTTTACACTATTCAGATGCTATCCGGGCATGGATATTGTAGGAAGTATCTATATAAAACTCAATATGCCCCGTTTAGGAAATAAAATCGGATTTCTCTCATAACCATTCCGTATTCGCCTGATCTATCCCCATGCGACTATTTTCTATTTCAAAACTGAAAACCAACAAGCAAGGAGTATTTATGATGATATCCCGGTCACTCATGCAGCCGTAATCGGGGTGCTGAATAACATTTCTATACATGACATAAAAAAAGTCTATGGATGCGATTCTACTTAACTGAATTGCTTGAAATTTCCTGTGAGCCTTCTCTACAGATGTCTTTATCGAACTAACTATTATTTATAACACATTAAATTTTGGTATATGTTTTAAAAAATTCAGAAACGTAAAAAAAAAAAACAAGAAAAAGCAACTTGCAAGAAGAATCAAATGTCTTCAGGGGTGCTGGCAAAACGTTAACATAAAAATTGTTGCGAAAGAATTTAGCATTGATTATTTGAAGAAAACGTAAATAATTTACAATCAAATTTGGTGTCTTCTTGGTTTATATTGAAGATCAATAGCTTACGACATAATTTTATTGCTATATTTTAGTTCGCGTCAAGTAAGATTATATTAAAAACATCTGCAAATGAGATATACTTGTATGTATATAATATCAACGCAACCGAAGAGACAAAATTAAATATATAAGCGATATGAGGTTTAGACCAAGGTCTAGACCAATTCCAGTCTAATTCAGCGCTAAGCCACATACTTTTAAGAAAACTTGTCCGTTTAATTTCATTAAAATATCACATTTTGACCAACCAGTACGGTTTAATGTCAGGTATAAAGACGGCTATCATTATTGGGGGGCAGAGAAAGAGATGAGCTGATTGAATTAATTTGGACCATTACTCAATTATACTCGAGAACATATTTTGAGGGAATTTTATATATAAATAATACTCACTGACCGACATATTCGGCATACAACTTTTTAGAAAAATCAAAATCATTATATGTAGTATATGGGTCTTGGGAGTAGTATTGACCCGATTTTATCAATATTTGCCAATACCACATACTATTCACATTCCACGTACTAATAAAAATGCTCCCTGGGTTTCATTAAGATACCTCACATACCATCACCAATCTATATGGAGTAAAGTAAGCCGGATGTTCGGAAATTCTGATATTAGTTATATATTTGTTAGGTCAAGTTTTCACCCAATTTTATCTATTTTAGGCACAAAGATACACGGTTATTAGAAAAACACGCTCTCTCATTTTTATTGAGATAATTCACATATTGGCCGATAACTTATATGCGGTATAATCACCCGGAAATCGAAAATCTGTATATTAGGTATATGGGGTCTAGGGGAAGTATGGACCCAATTCAACCTATTTTTGAAATTTAGACATACATATATCAGGAAAGCATTCGCACCGAATTTCAATTATATATCTCACACATTTACCGATATTTTCGGTAAAAAGTCGACTATAGGCACTGATGTCCACATATTCGGTATATAGGGGCTTGAACAGTCTTATTTCGATTTAGAAAATTTTTGGTCATAAAGAGGCGCACATCAAAGGCAATATTCGTGCAAAGTTGTATCTCGTAATATTAATTAATGCTTTATTTGTATACTCAAGTGTGAAAGATACAAATGGAATATAAAATTGTGTTATATGGGAAGTAAGCGTAGTTATTGTCCGATTTTCTCCATTTTCGCACTGAAACATAGGAATATTAGGAGAACGTTGTGTACCAAACTTGGTTGAAATCGGTCGAGCAGCTCCAGAGATATGTGAATTCACCAAAAGGTTGTCGGTGTCATGTTTACACCGGCTCCTATAAAGCCTTCTCTTACCATCTTTGATGTAAAACTTAATGTCTCTGACGCATTTAGTTATTGATTTATCGCGCATTTAGTAGTTTTTAACAAAGCAGTTGTATGGGGAGTGGGCGGGGTCATCATCCGATTGAACCTATTTTCACACTATCGTAAGAAGGGTTGAAAAAGTTGTCCTTTGCAAATTTACTTATTACGGGGCAGGCGCCCACTTTTTAAAGATTTTCCACCACAGGTGCCCCTTCTAAATGTTATTCGTTGTGCAAAATTTGAGTTCTGCATCTTCGTTTACGGCTTAGTAATGGCAATAGTAATGTTTTCGATTGTGGGCATGGCAGTGTTCCAATTACGCGCATCTACGAAATCGTCCTTACTTTTTTGCCCAGGAACATGTGTACAAAGTTGCATGACGATATCTTAATTTTTACTCAAGTTACGGTTTGCACAGACAGACGGACGGACAGACAATCACCCGGATTTCAACGCGTCTCGTCATCCTAATCATTTATACATATATACATAACTCCATTTCTATCTCGATTAGTTTTAGGTGATACTAACAACCGCTAGGTGAACAACACTCTCTGCAACATGTTGCTATGTGGTCCAATATCGGTGGTTCTGACAAATGCGCAGCTTCTTGGGAAGAAAGGGACGTGTGCAAAATCGATGTCTCAGAAACTGAGGGGCAAAATCGCATACCATATATACAGTCGGACGGACAGACAGACGGACATTGCTTAATTGACTCAGTTCGTCATGTTGATCACTTACGTATATATACTTTATAGGATTTCCGTCGTTTCCTTCTGGGTGTTAGAAAATTCGTGGCAAACTTACCCTGTTAGGATATAATTTTTGTTTTTCGGATATTCGCAGTTTAGCAAAAGTTTCTTTTAGTTAGTACAATAGCAGCATTTATCTAGATAAAGAATATATTTTATTTATTCATAGCACTCGAAAAAACACTAGACTAGAATACCCCGTTAAAGCTCCTCTCCGTGAACCAAACTGGATTAACAAACAGACGCAACAAAAAAATTTGTTTAGTTCATTTTACAAATTACTTATGCATTTTTGTTTTTGAACAATAGACAATTTAACTACAAAACCGAACAATTCCAAATATAATAAATCATTTAGGGACGTTTTCTTAATGTCTGGTTAGCAACTAAGACTCCTTTCGGTTGAGTTAACCAGAACTTAACTGACAGATGGTTGCTAACCAGACGTTGAGAAAATGGCCCTTTGTCAGCGTTAAACATATAAAAATATGAATATGGAAAAATGAATTATATAATTAATGTAATGTAGTATAACTATTTATATATATATATATATATACATATATATGTGTGCATATAGAGTTTGAGCGACTGCACTTACCGTGTAATATCCTCAGTGCTGACGGCACGTGGCGTTCCGGGTGGCACGGCGGCCAACACATTTGATGACGCATACCTAGATGCTGGTTCTATAATTTGTGTAATTATCAAAAACCACAACGCGGAAATTGAACACAACACGCACACACAAACAATGCATTACGATGGCATTTGTATAACAGAATACATTTGTACATTTGTATGTAATTAGGTACGAGTATGTATTAACATTTGTTTAGACATACATTTTTGGTCAATGATTGCAAAGATACGGGAATGAGAAGAGCAAAAGAATTAATGTGTTTTGGAATAATGTTATTTCTTTTTTTGAATATAAAGAAAAATTATACTAGGTGGAATATAAAAAACACATACACATGTGCATACATAATAAACATATTGTGGTAAATTTAAGTAAAATCTTTAGGAATTTCTCTTATGATTTTGTAAGAATATTTTTGAATATACATATATAAAAATACACTTCGTGCTGCAAGAGTGCGGAGGGAGATAATTTTTTTTATTAACTATTTTATTTTAAAAAATATTAATATAATTTTTTTTTTATTTTAAAATAATTAATTGTTTTAAAATTTTTTTTTTATTAATTAATTTTTATAATTTTTTTAATTAATTAATTTTTTATATCATTTAAATTTTTTTAATATTATTTTTTTATATATAATAATTTGTTTTTAAAGTTTTAAATAACTGCTTGGCAAATTTATATTTTATAAGAATATTTTTAAATAAATATAAAAATAGACTTCGTACTGCGAGGAGAGCGGAGGGAGAAACATTTCTTTATTAACTACTTAATTTTTTTTAATCTATTCATTTTTTTATTATTTTATTTTTATAAATATTATTTAAATTTTTGGTTTTCAATTTTAAAATAATTAATTGTTTTATTAATAAGTTTTTAATTAATTAATTTTTATAAAAATATTTTTTTTATTCATATTTCTTAATTATAGTTAATTCATTACTCAATTTTTTAAATTTTTAAATTATTATTTTTAGTTGATGTAATTTAAATTATTATTTTTAACTAAATATTTTTAATATTTTTTTTATAAATATTAATTTGTTTTTCAAAGTTTTAACTAATTGCTTGGCAAAATTTTCCTCAGCGTGCTTGTCGTAGCAAAAAGCGAAGTTTATAAATTGAGAATAGAAACATCTTAAGTATAATATTTTTACGTTTGGAACGAAATAACGTCTCATAAGCAGCTGGGACCTACTTGCTGAACGCGTGAACGCGAGGCATTGGCGAATTCATGCACGCAGCGCAGTGCTAATACACAATACGTGACGCCAAATGCATAATAAAACAGTTTAGCTATTTACAGTCGCCACACATAAATACATATTTGCTTTGCACTTAAGACAAATCGAAAATATATAGGTAAAAAATAAAAATCTATATAGCCTTTTTGGAAGCTGCATGTGTCTGGACTTATATGCATGTGCTTACATTGCGCTCTAGCATGCTTAAATTCCTTTGCAGTTATAATATTTATAAAATATTTCAAAAATGTAAGTTTAGCGCTGGCAAAATTAAAATTGAAGTGCTAAAATAGCGCGGCACATAAAAATAGTAACGCAAAAACACTGGAAGCATTATATTGAGAGAATATTTTTTAGCCATATATGTATGTTGGTATGTATATGTGTGTACTTAACCTATTTCAGTGTTTTTTTTTTTCAATAAAATAAATCTTATATTGGTAATGTTTGTGTATTTCAGCATATGGAAAGCGTGATTACAAACATCTGGAGAGGCAGTAAATAATATTAGTTCATATATATGTATGGGCGTATGTATATGTTTATAGGCATAAAAAACAGAATAACAGTTTCTAGTTTTCTTAATTTTAAACTAGTGTCAGTTATATAACTTTGAAGCGAGTTCTAAATCGAATATTGAATTTAAAGAAATAAGTGCAGTTATCTACAAAAAATATTATATAATCACATACAAAAATATGTAGACATTATTCAACACACTTTTTTAAATTTCTCAGGGTTAAAGATACATAGCTGGACTATCCCATAATTGATTTTCAGATTTTAAAACCAGATTTCTTCAATAATGTTTAAATATAATATTTCCTAATCAAATTTTTTGAAAATATATTTTGAGAGTAAAACAAATGATCGATGCTCTTTAAACATCTAAATTAAGGGAGGAAGTACCCGAAAACGTTTTAAATCGATTTTTTATTGTCTTTATCGATAGATATATGCTCCAAAAAAATATTGCAAAATCTCAAGAGCCAGTCATAAAAATTGTAGAAGATATGCCGATTGACGACTCGCTGACCGACTTTGAACCGCATACTTTAAACGGCGTTTTCTCGAAATCATGTTTTTCAAATTGGCGTAGAAGACAGTGTAACCAATTTTCTCCATCGAGCTTTTATATTAAAATACATAAGAAACTACTCTAGATATACTACAGACATAAAGAAAAATATTTTTTGACCTCATTTTAGTCTAAATATTTACTTCGCTAGTATAGGTAAGGCCATAAAATTAATTAATCAAACTCTATCGAAACTTTTATGTAATATTTTTCTTACATTATATGGAATGCTAGATTTTTCAATAAAGCATCTGTTTAAACAATTATAATATTGAATACTGCAGCAATAAGTAACTTTCTCGTGGATCAAATAATGCGATCTCAGGATAATCGGTTCTGCGTAACCGAAACGGACTCAGATTTTTATCGGGTCAAGTACTTTTAACTCAACTGATTCTAAAAACAAGAAAAAAAAGTTAGCTTTATCCTTCACAGCATCGTTGCATATAAAAACTATATGTATAACTAAATTTGAAAACGTAACCGGCCAAAGATGTGCATACAAACGAAAATATTTTGCTAGTTCTCCCTAGCCACTTTGTTTGGTGTAAACAGCCACCAAGTCGCTTTAAGGTTACTTAAAAGAAAAAAAGGATTATTATTAAGGCTTTATCATGCTTTTGATCAGCTAATTTGTATGGCAGCTATATATTATAGTGGTCCGATCTGAACAATATGTTCGGAGATTGTACCATTGGCTTAAACAATAATTCATACCAAATTTTGATTTTTTGAAGATAGCTTATCACATAAAATAGTTTCGCATACATGATTTTGATTTTGGTTAGTTTTCCGATATCGGCGGTTCCCAATAATTGGGCACCTCTTGAGAAGCAAAGCACGTGTGCAAGATTTCATATCGATATCTCACAAACTGAGGAACTAGTTCGCGTATATACGGACGGACATAACTACAACACTCAACTTGTCACGCTGATCATTTATATATTGTACATATATACTTTATAGGGCCTCACAGACGTTTGCTTTTAGATTAGAAGTCTTATTGAATTATGCCTTTTGTTTGTTCGATTCGCTACTCTCCAATGTTTGAAGAATCGAATACAGTTAGAACGTATTTCATAAATGTTGGACACGTGTTTACCGGTTTTATACGGAATGTTAAATCTAATTATTTATTTTATTATCACATGTGCGAATTCAAATTGCCGGCATTAACTTTATTTACAGCGCGAAAGCAGATGGAAGTAATCGCACTCTCCAACACACCACTTAAAATAAATAAACTTGTGGATGCAAAAATATCAGATATAGCACCTAGATATAGATAAAATAAATATGTACTACAACTGTAAGGTGTATTGCGGAAATACAGAGCAATAATTTGCTATATGTTAAACTAATTTTAACGAAAACAGCTTGTAGTGATTTAACGCTAAAGCTAAATTACAAAAACATAGCTGTTTTGTAATTGTATATCAGCTGTAAGTATATCTACATATGTACTTGTATACTAGATGTATCTATATCTGTATGCATGTATGTATGTTTGATTGTTTATTTGTATGTATGTATGTATATGTATGCGTTTGTCTTACGAGGCAAAGGTGAATGGGATCTGGATGTTGATGCAACAACAACACCAGCTGCTGTGGAGGAGGCGGGTACTGAGGATTGTATATTATTGTTGATATTATTCGTGGTAGCTGTGTGGCTAACATTGTTGTTGTTGTACGTGGTAGTAGTGGTGGTGGTGGTGGTGGTGATTGAGGGTGATGGTGAACGAGCAAAATCAACAACTGTTTTTCCAATATTATTTATCGCACCTGTTGAATGCGAATTAATCGGCGCAAATTGTGGCTGTGAAGAGCTGACTGGATGCTGCGTCTTGCCAACGATCAACGTTACTTTGTCCGTGATTGACTTGAGCGTGGCGACCGCTTGCTCGTGTGTTACATTTTCCAGATTAGTTTCGGCCTGCAAAAGAATTAAATGATGCAATTAATAAGCGATACTCGTGTGAGTGTGGAGGAAAGTAATTGTTCAACATTACCGCATTTGTGCGAACCGCAATCAGTTTATCGCCAATCGAGAGGCGTCCATCGACCGCAGCGGCGCCACCTTCCATGATTTTCGTTACATAAATACCGTTATCGCCCGGTATATGCTGATTACCAATACCGCCGGCTATGGAGAAGCCCAAACCCTTGCCACCTTTTACCAAATCGATCTCGACCACTTTCGGACCGGCAGCAGCAGCAGCTGCAGCTGCAGCAGCGGCGGCAGCACTACGAGGCAATGTGGCTGATGTGGCGGCAGTAGCGTCACCACCACCGCCAGCAGCACCGCCGCCACCGCCACGTTTTCTTTTCACATGCAATTTCACCACATTGCCGGCTTTTTTGAGCGCATCCACAGCGGATGCATGCGGCACATCCACCACAGATACATCATTCACCGACACAATGATATCGTTTATGCATAAACGTCCATCGGCAGCGGCGGCGCCGCCCGGTATCAGTTTCGTTATATAAATGGAGGTGTCCGTGCCGATGTGTGGATTGTCTGTGCCGCCGGCAATCGAAAAACCAAGACCAGAATTGCCACGCTCCAATGTAATATCCTCATATTGCCAGCTCTCATCACCATTCACCTGCAAACAAAAACAATCAATTAAGAGGAAAGTGTTAATTAAGGAATTTTCCAACGATCGTAACATTTGCATGGTTTTAGTGTTACAAACATATCAGCGAGTAGTATTTTGATTGACAACCTGACAATAGCAACAATAACAAAAGGCAGCATATATGCATGTGTGTATACCTGAAGTTAGTTGTCTGCTTGTTGGGAGCAAACAGCGCATAGTTACAATGTCGACGAAAAAAAAACAGAGACACAGGGACAGACACTTGTTATTATTTGAGTGGTGATGAAAGTGGACACATGAAATGGCACAAAATAGAAATGAAAACACAAATGGACACGAGCACGAGAACATAAATCGATTGAAATGCTGTGATTTAGACAATACAAACGGCAGCACGTACGCCCTTACATACACGCACACACACAATTATGCATACATATGAAGGTAGACACATGGTAAGTGTTGCAAATTGGCACAATATCAAATTCATTGGGCACCGTGACGTCGATAACGGCACGACTCAGGTGGTAAGATGTGCAAATTGTGCCAATTTGCTTTCGCTAAAAAGACGCTTGTTATCATGACCCGGTCATCAAGGCAACGCAAGCACCCAGCACAGTAGTATACAAAATAGCAACAACAACAATAACCAATGCAGTTAATTTGAGAGCATACAATATTAGTTGGCACACACATAAAAACATACAAAAAAAAGTTTAACTACTACAAGTATTAAATAAACAAAAAGGAAGAGAAAAGAAGAGATTTCTTTCCTTTTCGTGGCACGCCACTCGCTTACCTTCGTCGATGACGCTCTGTGTATCTGCAAAGTGACAAAACCAAATTAAGATATAACAGTATATTCGAAATGGAAATTAAAAGTATAAGAAAACTACAAACAAAAGGTTAATAAATAAACAGTATAGTATTCAGAGCGAAATATGCTATAATTTAGAGTTCTTTGACATTTGAATGACAGTGGTGTAACGCCCAATAACCGGTCAACGGTATGTTTAGAAGAACAAACAACAACAGCTGCATAAGATCAATGGTAATTGGCCGCCGAAGCCATGGCTAGTCTATTTTTTGCTATTCTATGTACAATGACCCACCCAATTCATTTAAGAGACTGTGAGGCAGAAATATTTCATTGTTGTAACAACGTTGATATTTTCGCTGTCATTGCTGTCTTATGTACTTGTTGCCGCATAGCACTGATATTATCATATCATTACAGTAGAGGCTTAGAAGAGCTAAGACGCATAAAAGTTAAGTATACGGAAAAGTTAAGCCGTTTTTAATCGCCACACAGGGCCTTAAAAAGTTAAGTGCTTCTTAATTTTTTCGGGAAATTTTTTCTATTTCTGATATCATTTTAACTTCTGACCTGTCGATTGTATTTGCATAAATATATATGTACATACATACATATGTAGTGCTGTACACATAAGCATACAAACAAAACAAGTAAGAAAGTGCTAAGCTCGGCTGTAACCAAGGTTGCAAGGATCAAAGCCGTCGAAATACTATGAGGTGTTTAACTTTTATTCAACGAAGAAATCGTGAATGGATTACGATAAAATTTGGTATTTTATTACCTTATATTGAGGGTCTTATACTAACTTTTATTAATATATTTTACTTCGCGTCAACGAGTATTATAATAAAATCATACTGAAATCAGAAATATGTCATATACCATAAACTCAACCGAAGAGGCCAATATTTTAACATATAGAATTATTGTGAAAAACGTAGTTGACGTTGGATTGGAACTCATTATATATAATATACTTTTATTACATCTGAGAAAACGTGTTCACTTAATTTCATTAAAATATCACACATTTTTACCAACCTGCGCGGTTTAAAGTCAGGTCGAAAGTCGGAAATCATTATATAGGGTATATTGGGGCCAGAGACAGGAATAGACTGATTGCATTAATTTTGGCATACATACGTGTAATACTTAAATACACTTATAATCACACGCATATTTCATATCACGGAAAAGTTAAGAATTCGAAGAAATAAAGCACCCCTATAACAAATTAGTTAACTTTTTCGAGCCTCTACTGTAAATATGCATATGTGTGTATACAAGTACGTATGTTTATTTTTTATAAACTCCTCAGCAGCTTGTGGCCGTCGCGCACGCCCCATCGCTTTACGTTTAATGGACAAGGCACAACTCCCATCGGATATTTGTGAGATAAGCCATGCCATCAGCGTCAAGCAGATGCGGAAATTAAAAGATCATTGCCCTGCTGTCTAAGCACTCATTACTTTTGCGGCATTCAAATGTAAATAAAAATTTGTAATGTAAATCTAAAGCAATTAAGTGGAACTACCATAAAATGGCAAATAAGTGTGGTCCTTACTTTGAACTTAGGCTGCAAACCCAGTGCAGTGGAGAAGAGTAAATCCATGAGGCAAGTCTTATAAAAAGACAAAATAATTCACATTTACATGTTGAAGCAACAGCAAAATTATCTAGACGAATTGATTAAAAGTGAATCCATGAAAGCGGCTTCTTCGCTTTCAATTTATCTATATCTAATTAAGCCAGTTTAATTCAAAAGATCGTAAAATTATTGGTCTCATTGCAAATTTTACTACGAGAATGTTGGCTAAAATATTAAAGGAAGATTTGGACAAAAGGTAGTTTTGTTCCACATGAAGTGGATGCGCTGGTTGATCGTTCCAAACGTAGTATTGAGTCTAAGGGAACATATTTTAAATAAATAATAACTTTCAAAAATGTTATAATGTGTATTTTATTCTATCTCGAAAAAATGTGGTTATTATATAACGGCGTCTGCACTGTATTGTAATAATTAAAAAATAGGTCGATATTCGATATTACATTGATTGCACTAATTTTGTTATCAAGCCAACACGAACTGAGTGTCAAAATCCGAATACAACTTACTGTTCAAAATTTAGGAGTTTATATTTTTCTATCTTAGTATCTTCTACTTCAAAGCCAACTGTTGCACTTTTATGGAAAGCTTGACTCTCTTTGTAATTTTGGGGTAGATGGAAAGTGATGTAAGATCGATTCCGATTTATTATGTAGAGAATAGATAAAATAAGCCGTAAGCATCTATGGGCCTGATTACTCGTATGGGTTTGATTTTGGATATAATGGTCAAAGTTTAATATTGGAATTCTATTGTTGTGGCACAAAATACAAGGTTTGGAGAATGTTGATGATGGTCGGATAGAAACCCGATTATCATTCACTAACCAAGTCTCGACGGTGCTGCGAACAGGTGATTAGTATTACAAGGTGCGCTCCAAAGTAAACATTAAAAAAGTAACAAAGTAAACTCTAGTAGCGCCATCTATATGTCGACTAGTGCGTTAGAATCTGCTATCCTTTATCGACTTCCAGTAAATTTCATGACATTTCATCTATTGAAAGTGAAGTTATTGCGTTTTAAGTGTCAGTATGTTTTTGTCATCGGTGCGAAAATGAGCTTCGAACAAAGAGCCAACATTAAATTTTGTTTTAAAATTGGTAAAACTTTTACCGAAACGTTTCAATTGATGAAACAAGTTTATGGCGATGATTGCCTATCCCGTAGCAGAGTGCACGAGTGGTTTCAACGTTTTCAAAGTGGTCGGGAGGACATAAATGACGATGAACATGAACCCAAAAAATCGCGCCTGGAGAAGTCAAAAGTGAAGACAATGCTGATTTGATTTTATGAAACAAAATTTGTTCCACCCGGCCAAAACGTTAATGCGGTATTCTACCTTGGAGTTTTGAAGCGTTTGGTGCGACGTATTCGACGTGTGCCCGAATATCGCGAAGATGGAAGTACACGTTTGTTGCACGATAATGCGCCGTCTCATCGATCGACGCTTGTGGCCGATTATTTGACCAAAAATCACATTTTAACAATCAACCTCTCTCCGTATTCACCTGATATGGCACCGTGAGACTTCTACGTTTTCGGAAAAATGCATTTGTCCATGAAAGGAAAGCGTTATGCAGATGTGGAGGCCATTCAAAAGGCTTGCACCGGCACTAAACACTCGTTCGACATGCTTTTGGAGCGTGCAAAAAGCTGTATTAAAGCAGAAGGAGACTTTTTTGAATAAAATTAATTGATTTTGCCCATAAAACCATTTGTGCTGTATTTTTTTTAAAAGTCCTGTTTACTTTGGAACGCACCTTGTATTTTGAGCACTTTACGAAACGACTCCATGGAGATTGATAAAGCATAGTATTACCTGCAGACTCTGATTAGGCTTGAAGTTCTTATGCCACTTCTATAGAGATATCTTGCCATAATTAATTAATTTTTTCTCTGAAAAAACTCTCGACAAATAATTAATTTGCTTTATTTCGTAAAAAAATCATACTTTCTGTATTCTTCCCTTTTGCTATTTTTTATTACTCTTTTTAGAGGTACAACAAATGGATCTGATCGCATACTATAAATCTAAGTCGATGTCTTATCGATTTTACTACAAATTAGTATACTTCTACGAAATTTGTACCAGATTAACAAAATTCTTGCGGCCGACTTAAAAGAGAGTCGAGGAATATTGGATTCAATGAATGTATTCAAATCACTTTTTTAGTCTTTTTTTACACTTGAAGTATTTCTTATTATTCCCCATATACATTAGCATATTTTTAGAAATATAATTTAATTTACGAAAGAGAAATTTCCACTGCAAATTTATGGCCATAAATTCATAGAATTTTTCTAAGCTTATTTAAGGCAACTCGGTCTATTAACAACAACAAAAAGGACACAACAACAAACAATCTCATAAACAGTAATAACTCATTAAGCATAACAAAGCACCGGAGCACCTACAAAACAAAAATGTAAATGTGTTATAAAAAATTGAGAAATTTAAAGAAGGGAAATATGGCAATAAAGCGCAAAGAGAAAACGTGACACACACGGCATAGAGTAGATTTAAATAACAATAAGTACATTCTTAGCGAAATTTACTTTGTCAATTAACTCCAAATCGGTCGG